TAATTAAAAAAAATATCCCATTTCCGTTTGGAATAAACAGGCTATTTTCATGCTTTCCTATACGCTGCATTTCAAAACATTTATGGCTGCATCTCTGACAAATCTTTAAAACTCAGTTTTCTTTCAATTCAAAAAGCAATTGATAGTTCATTTCCCAGTGACCATGCGGGCGAAGCCGCGGGTAACAGCTAGTAGAGTATAAAGCCCTTTTTACTCTATTTCTTGCGTTCACTCATTGTTCTATATCCTTTTCGTGTCTACCATCACACCCCAAATACACAAACTCATCCACTTGCTCAAATTACTCCCCTTCTATTTTTATTTTACATATCGTTTTACTTTCTTCTCTTTTAAAAACTATGTTTTACTTGCATTCACCTTCTTATTTTAATGGCCTGTTCTTTAATGTAACCATCATTTGCAAATCGGCCGCCGACGACGCAAATATGTCTTGATCATCGGCGTACAAAAGGCATTTGACGGTTAACTCACCCTTTCCTAACACACATTCTTCAACTTTCAAAGTTTCCAAACATATTTCCTTAAATAGGTTGAACAGCCATGGGGAAGCTACACAGCTCTGTCTGACACCTTTATGGATGCCAAACCTTAGTGTTTTCTACAACACATGCCTGTCCACTCTGTCATAAGCCTTTTCTATGTCCATGAACACATAACGTGATCATCCGCATGAAAAATAATTGATCCGTACATCACATTCCCTTTCTAAATCCAGCTTGCATATCCCAAAATTTTCCGTCACTTTCTTTCATAACTATTTCAATTAACAACTTAGCATACAGTTTTCCAACAACACTAAGCAGGCTAATGCTACAGTAGGTTTTACATGCCTGCTTATGACCTTTTGCCCTTTCCCTTGTCCTAATTAAATCCAAGGATTTATATTATGTACTTCGTAATATATACTGATATGTGCTACGTATACTTTAACGATGGAATTACACCAACGTTGAACCATTCAATTCCAAACGTAATTAACTCAACATGCAGACTCTCTGTTGTATGTGTAGAAGCACAAACTAATAAGAAGTGCTAACGCAGTGTATAGACAACAGCTGTAATAATGCTCTTTGGAAAAAACTCAAAATTAAATTTAGAAATAAAAGGATGGTGTTATAGGTATGCGATTTAAAGTTTCTGGAGATGTAGTGATAGTAAATTTTATCAACTAAATTTTAAAATGAAGAACGATTGTGCTAAAAACATTTTTAGAATGAAGTAAAACAAAATTAATAGCATTTCCTTATTTCTTGTATATTATTCATCATACATTTATTCTTCAAACGAATAGTCTGCGAATTCACAGCGTTAATTATTTTTAACATTATGAATTCGGTAAATAATATATTGATAGTTTAAGTATTTATTTATTCTTTACTGAATTCCTAAAAATAAAAGAATACTAAGGGCAGATTTAATGCCTTGAGGCATTCTCTACCAATCAACCCTAATATAGAATAAAAACTAAATAAAAATGATAATTAACTACGTAATATATATTTTACTAAAATATAAAATAAATAAACTGTACAAGTTTATACATACATACATATATACATATTACATACTAATATACATATACTTATAAACAGTACATATAAATATCTTGTACCGCGCTTGGCTCGGTATTTTTTTTTGGAATCGTCTGTTTTGGAAATTATATTTAGATACAAATTACATACTAATGAAATATGAATAACATTTTTTTAACTTGCTGACATAATAGAAAAAACGGACTGGTTATTTGAATAAGAAATCATGATTGCAGTTAGTTTAATTTTAATTTTCGTGTTTTTAAAAAAATACTAAAAAAAAGGTTTAAAATAATAGATTTTCTTACAAAAGAAGGGAAATTGTCTGATCGAAGACAGGACTTGAACCGGGTACTACGATTTCGGTAACGCCCGAAATTCCGTTTGAGCTATTATAATCATTAAAGCATTGCCAAAATTTACCTTCTTATTCTAATGCTAGTGTAACAGTTTTTATTGCCTGAAAACACAGATAAAAAGTCATTTTATAAAAATGAATCCTAGCTAGATCGATTTATTGCCTTCGAAACATAAAAATTTAGTATCCAGGGGGACACTAAATAGATAATAAATATATAGCTGTGCTATGCATAGTCTGTTAGCAATTTAAATGACATGGAAGATTCATGTAAGAAGAAACGTTGTCATTAATACATAGATGATTACAGAGGAAACTTTTTTTTAAAGAAAACTTATTGGGTGCAATGTCATCGGGCAAGGAGTTCCAAAAGCATGTACCCTAAACTGTAAAAGAGTTACCATAGAACTCAGAGAAAATTAAGAGAAATACATATTTTGTTGTTAGAAGAAGCAAGTAAAACCCCTATCACGACATGAGGATAGATAGTAAAATTTCCTCTTAAGATAAGAAGGCAAAATGGGTCATTTAATATAAAAAAATAACAAAGAATATTCTCAAATCGGACCTGTGCTGGATTGTGAGACAATTAAGATTTGATGTAGCTTTGATAGCAAATTTGGCCATATTTACGAAGCCCGGAAATAAATCTTATACAGCTATTTAGAATACGTATCAACGATCTGTCCAAGATCTTTTAAACAACAAAAAATCTTGGAACAGATCCGGGTAACACATATCTGTTTACAAATGTTTTAAACGATACAGAGATAGTATCGTGGCAATGATTTTACGACTCACTTCTGAAAACTGAGTTCTCGTTTCAGCGTTTTGTCAATGTGTAGGCCAAAATTTTTCACAGAGATACTGAACGGAATTGTAATACCATTATAACGAATAGGAGGTAAGTCTGCAAGATTAATCTTGGCTAGTATCCTTGAACTACTCACCAGTATAGCTTGGCATTTCAAAGCATTGACCTAAAACTCTAAAACGAGAAGACCAATCTTTGATAGCTTATAAGTTGTTGTTTAAATTTTTAATCCCATTATAGACATCCCCAATTTCTGCTTGCACTTATAACTGAAGGTCATCGACATACAGATGGTACGGGCTATCGAAGACGGAGGTAATAAAGCTAATAAAAATTGAAAAAATTATAGGAGAAAGAATCGCACCTGAGCACATTAGCTTTCACATCAGCTCCAGCTAAGGTCATTTGCCCTACACGGACTGACTACTGTCGACTGCAGCCAGGAATATAAGATGCAAACCTATTCGACGCAGTAGGGGCAAAATTTAGATAAGACGGTATAAAAAGGAGGATTTAACAAACGAGTACCGATTGACTCAGCGACCACATTTGCCACCGTATCACTGTGAGCTTAACCCAATTGAGCTCGTTTGGGCTCAAGTTAAAGGTTCCGTGGCAGCAAATAACAAAAGTTATAAAATTGATGAAGTTCGAACTCTTTTGTTACAAGGAGTAGCTAAAGTGGATAGCCAAAAATGGTCGTCATGAGTAAATCACGTGATAACCAAGATCGAAACAAAAACGTACGAAGTCAACAATAATGTAGAAAATGTGTCAGAGCAGCTTATTGTTCACGTGTCTGCAGAAAGTTCATCAGAAGGAAGTGATGAAGATAGTTTTTAATATTACAAGAATTACATTAATAATTATTTTATTTATAACTTCTTGTACAGAATATATTAGTACTATATCCAATATTGTTTTATTGTTATTCATTTATGACTTTTATATAAAAATAATTTAATTTTCTCTACAGTAAATTTTAGAGGTATTCAATATGAACGGGCCTTTACAATTTCAAAACAAGAACGAAGGCGTTGGCCCCATACATAACTATAACCCATCTCGCTCTGTCAATATTGGAAATGTACGAGAGACATACTCAGTACCCATTTGTTAAAAAAAAACACAGACTTAGTTACGTGAGGGTAATATGGTCACCTTAAGCTTTGCCGCTCTTTAAAACCAATACTAGGAAGAGAACAGAGACAAATATAAAAAATCGTATACTATAACTAATATATGAAGAAAAAATAGCAAACAAGCTTTGGCAATAATTAGGTACATTCGAAAAATCAACTTAAAAGAACTTACTACACTACACAATACTAAATTTGACTAAAATATTTACTATAATGTCAACTGTCACAATGGCGTCGATAAAGCAGCGCCTTTTTGACCCTTTATTATTTGGTTGACCGATGAAGAGCTATTGTATCACAGAGCCATCTATGCAAACAAGGCTGTAGTTTTTGAGTTATAAGAATGTGACCATATTAACCGGATGGCCATATTTGCAAAGTTTATCTGATGCTAAGTGGATGTTGTGCCTTATAGACATCTACATCCAATCTTGATTGAGAATCAAAATTCAAATGCGTTGTCATTCGTGAGAACTAAGATGGATGATCTTGCATATTTTACACTGGTATTCTGTGAGAACGTAGTCATTTCCTACCGTACCCTCATGTACTATAAAGTATAAATACTACCATGTGTCTAATAACCTAATCATAACCCACCGCCTTAGATTGAATTGCTAAAATAGGTATGTTAGGAATTTGGACAGAAGCAATGCAAGCCTACTCTATAATACAAAGTACAACTCTCTCCACAATAGAAATTCTACTGAGATGTGGACGTTAATTTGTTCTGTTGGTGTGGGCAGGTCTCTGATCTTAGAATACAAAGACGTTGAAGTAAATGATCTAAATAAACATTTTGTTACTCCTCCTATGAGTTTAGATCGTTACATCAATTCAAACATACTACTCGCATTGTCGGGTATATCAAAACCACAATTTGCCATTTTCATTTTTCCCTTGTGACGGTGGAAGATGTCAAAAATCCATTCTAGCCATCTCTTCAGCTGGTGTTAGTAATGACGATCTATGCTCGAGGATGATTATGCCAGTTCTACCTTTACTTCTTCCAATTCTTACTCACATATTTAATTTTTCCAACAGATTAGAAGAATTTTTGCAATAGAAAAAGAAAAAGAAAGATTGAGGCATTTACGAAAGAAAGAAGCTAAAAAATTGTGAGCATAAAAGAGATGACTCCCCGTGCTCAACGAGAGCAGCGAAAGAGATGGCGAGCAAATAAAGACAAGCATTTGAACAGAAAACAAGAAGAAAAACAAATTCAAGAAGTTGTATTACAAAATAGTATTAGTAGTAAAGAAGAAGCTACTGGAAAAGAAGACGCTACTGGCTCAGCTGATCCTATTTCTCTTAATTCAGATTTAATAGAAGATGTAAGTAAAAGTCAAATGATATCAGAGAAAAGTATACAGAAGGATGTAATGATATTTAAATTAAAATTAAAAATCAGGCATTTGCAATACGCATAAAGCAACAGAAAATATTTAAAGTAAAATATGATAAAATGAACCAAGAAAATAAAAGATTAAGAGAAGAGATGATTCGGCGCAATGATAAATATAGCAGGGGGAAGAATTGTTGAATAAAATAAAAATTTACGAAAAATATGTAAACATAAAAAATTTAAAGGGAAAGTTGAAAAAAAAATAATATTAGTTGTTCATAATTAGGGTGGTTTTCCCTGAAAATCATAAAAATACTTGTCAGTGTATTCTACATGTGAATAATGAATTGTTAAGTAAAGCTTTGAACAGAGCAAAAAATATTAAAATTTCGTAATAATAACGAGTTACTGCAAAGTTTACGTTGTGACAAATTTAATGTAAAATGTCTTGACACACAATGCGAAAACTGCAAAAATAATAAATTAAGTTATAATCAATTCAATAATGATATTAAAATATTGTTTGATGAATAGATAAAGACTACCGATATTGATCATAAAGGCAATCAAATGAAGCAAAAACAAATATGGTACAAACTAAAGAAGTTAGAGATGCCTTCAGCCCTGATCGAAAAACTGAATCGGTCCAAAAATTCATGCCACATTGTGGCAACATATTAGCACAATATAAAGAGCTGAAACAGTTAAAAAATGACTTGGAAAACAATGTAACTGTAGTGCACGTAGATTTTAGCGAAAATTATTCCCTGAAATTTCACGAAGAAATAAAATCCTATCATTTTCGTGGTAGTCGTCGCCAAGTCTCGATACACATAGTTGTTATTTATATATGGGATTATAAAACTTATGAAGTAAAGCCATTTTGTTTTTGCACTGTTTTAGAAAATCTCAAACATGATGCATCTGCAATTTGGGCACACATTATACCAATTTTAAATTATATTAAGGAATTATCACCTTTTATAGACACTATTCATTTCGTTGGTGACAATCCAAGTAACTAATATAGAAATAGAGTCATGTTTTACGTATTGACTCAACTACACAAAGAATTTGTTGCACTCCGTTTAGTATCGTGGAATTATTTGGAAGCAGGTCATGGAAAAGGCGCACCTGATGGCCTTGGAGCTGTATTGAAAAGAAAATCTGATAGAATAGTAAAACAAGGAGAGGATATTGGCACATTTCAGAAATTTGTTAAAGTTTTTCAGACCAACGAACCACATATCACTATTGAAATTGTGAGCAATGATGAGATAGTACCTAACTAAAGAAAAAAACATTTCAACAACGGATATCCCACTATTTAAAGGGACAATGAAAACTCATCAAGTATTGTTCAGTTGTGATCATAATCAAATGGCCTTTAGAAATAGAAGTTGCTTTACCTAAGTACCCGATATCCTTGCATCCAGGATAAGCATTTAGGTTTTTTGAAATACTTATTTACAGATGAAAGTAATAAATAAAATCAGACCGATATGATAAATAGAAGAAACTTAAAACAGAACCTAATTAAAAATATATATTGTAATAGGAACTCCTAGTAGTATAATACTCAGAAATAAAATAATGATCAGCCGTCAACTTGTAAGACAAAGGACGTTTATGATGATAACAAAGTAGTAGAAGTGAAAACTTTACAAACTCTTAATAAATTTGATTAGGAGAGTACTAGTTTTATGGAAACACCAACAAATAAAATTTTAAATGCTTGTTAAATGATGATAATATAGATAATAACGAATTTATTGAAAGATTAATGACAGTTGAAGATAATGTTGTAAAAAAACTAGATACATAATAAAATTATACTAATTAAGTACATCCATATTATTATTGTATATTTACTAACTTTATTTTGTATTTGATTTTTTGTTTTGTTTTTAACAGGTAAGAAAAAAGCATGACTCAAACGACCAAAATCACCATCAATTCTTTCTCGTTTTACTTTAACAAAGCTATATAAAAGCAATGCAAAATAGATGTTGACAAAGTTACAAAAAAAGTAGGCACACAAACAACGTTTGAAGAGCTGATAGATACTGACATTTATTTTAAAAGTTGCGACAAAACCTGAATATCTTTTCAAACGGATATATTGCATAAGGTAGACTTCCATAATCAACGCTCATCAGATGAAAGAAATAAAAATTTCGCTCAATTGATAGTGTTCGAGTTAGAAAGAGTGCCTGAAGAGAACCGTTCGAATTTATATCCTCAAATTATTAATATTATTAGATTATTCCATGGCGATTTAGATTTACATGAATGTATAGATTTCGTACCCATAATGAGTGATTCTGAGGATAGTAACGACCACGAACTGCCATTGAATGTTCGTTACAAAAAAATGTAATTGTGAAGACTGTAGCTACATTTTATTCCAAATAGTAGTTAATAATCATAATGGATATTTAATTCCATAAGTTGTTATTCAGTCAGTAAGTTAAGCAACTGTGATTTAGATTAATAGGTAACTATAATAAATATAAAAAGTTTGTTACATATAACATTTTACATATCACATTTTTAGATACCGATACGGGTATCTACCAAAGTAAAATGTGGTAGTATACCTATGGTACGAAATGTTAATTTCAGTTTAAAATTTTGCCAAAAGATTATATTAAAAGTTTCTAATCTCAAAACTATTAATGTTACAATTACTGTTCTAAAACTTTATATTATAAATTTTTCTATTGTTTTGATTAAGACTTCAGTGGCTGTTGATTAAGAAATTAGTTTTTATATTTGTGGTGGAGCGACGAGCCTAAGGTTACCGAAGTCTAATTCCCCGGTCGAACCTTAAACCTATTACGCGAGATATTAACCAAAGTGGACTGTATATGCGAAATGCTTCTTCGTTTACCCAAAATGGCGACTATAGCACGCGGTTTCCCATACAATGCACTCGCTCTTCCCTAAAACGAACTATTATTTGCCAAATCTATGAAAGGAATCCTGCTTGATTAGGAGAAAATAAATTGGAGCGGACACAATTATATCAAGCAGTAACTAGTAAGGAATATTCACTCACCGGGGTGTTGCTTCTATGCGGCTTGGGCACTAAGTTGCTGCAACTTCTGGAAGACACTCTGGGTAGATTCTCTGGAGCCCCAGCCTTTCTTGTCCGGTGATACATCGGGAGAGAGTGCGGTGCGCGACTATTTCTCACACGAGGTGAGGCGGGTTTCCTGGAGTTCGACTGCGTCCAGGCTAAAGCGGATATACTAGCGGTGCGCGTGGACACTATTGTCTTAAGCGGTGTGGTTCCAACGACGAGCGCGGCGGGAAGAGAGACGGTATGGTTCCAACGACGAGCGCGGCGGGAAAAGAGTGCGCGTCGGCCGCGCGTGCCTTTTTATTCCTTCGGTTGCGATGATCGCGTAATATTCTAGAATCATCTTCTTTCCCCTCCCACCCCACCACCCCGATGTGTCGATAGGAGGGTATGAATGATATCGTTTGGAAAGGGATAAACGATTTGGCAAGCCTACCGTCAAATATAAATAAATACGAATGGTTTCCCGCGCAACCATCTCCCCCGCCCTTGAAGGATTTCCTTCAAAAAAAAAATAATTAAAACAACTAGAGCTAAGATCAAACTAACAAAATAACTAACTAACGCTGAGATTACCTACATTCAACTACAATTTCTAATCTAGAAAGCTAATTTAAATTATGGAAGAGGTAAGGGGCACAAACGGACAACAGGACGCATGTAAGACCCAACCGTGGTCTTAACGCGAGCTACCCTAATTACTCCGTCGGAACCGGGAAAGACCTCTTCGACAATTCCTAACGGCCAATGGAGAGGCGGCGTATTCTCTTTGGTGAGCACAACTACAGTTCCTACAGCTAAAGGCTCTGTCGCTGTGTTCCATTTCTGTCGAGACTGCAAAGTATGCAAGTATTCCATCCTCCATCGTTTCCAAAACGATTGCACTAACCGGTCTAATAATTTGTGGCGTGCGGAAATGCTAAGTCTGTTCTCATCCATATCTACGGCGGGCAAATACTTTAAAGGCGTTAAATTCAAAAAAATTGCTGGAGTAAAGCGGCTCCAAGGGATCACTAGACAATGTACGACAAAGTGGGCGGCTATTCATTACGCATTCAATTTGAGCGAGCACCGTACTTAGCTCTTCGAAGGACAAAATTTGATCTACTATTACTCCGTATAAGTGACTCTTTAGACTCTTAATATTAGTCTCCCAATTGCCCCCAAAATGACTCGCGGCTGGTACGTTCAGAGACCACTCAATGTGGTCCTTGGCTAGAATGTGAGCGAACTCCGAATTATAACACTTGCTAGCTAAGAGCTCATGTAGTTCTGATAAAATACGTTTTGCACCGACGTAGTTCGTACCGTTATCCGAATACAATTTACTTACAGGGCCACGGCGGGAAAGAAATCTTTTAAATGCACCCATAATGCCTGCTGTGCTTAGATCACCGACGAGTTCTATATGCACCGCTCGAGTAGTTAGACATACGAAAATGCAGACGTAAGCCTTTGTGGATCTTATACCACGCCCGCGAGTGAGCGTGACCTTAAACGGACCAGCGAAATCAGACCCGGTGTGCGTAAAGGGCTTTACTGATTGTATTACTCTACAAGATCTAAGTTCCGCCATTTCCGGAAATGACGGCTTGGGGCGTGCCCGAAAGCAAGCTATACATCTGTACACCCGATTGCGGATTAAACTACGTGCAGAAAGAATCCAATAATTCTGACGCAATATCGACATCAGCAAGTCGGGGCCAGCGTGCGAGTTCAATTTATGATGGTAATCGACTAATAAATTCATGATATGGTCTTTACGCGGTAACTTAAAACTATAGGGTGCCGTTGGTCGAAACTCAACTGCGAGTTAGACAATCGTCCACCTACCCTTACAATCCCATCCTGTAAAAATGGTTTAAGGCGTTGAAAGGCGCGACTACAAGCTCTATTCGATTGTAATCTTGTAATTTCTTCCGAGAAATGCGCACGTTGAAGTTCACGCAATACTAGTAACTCGGCATAGTCGTAATCGGACGCTAAGATATACGAACGTCGCGGTAAAAGCTTCGCGAATCGACAAACGTAAATTACGCTACGCAATAATTTCGACCAAGAGGACAAGCGGTTCGTCAAAGCAATGATTGGAGAAACCTCGCTCGAAACGTTCGCCACTAGAGCGTGTCTCTTCTCTTCCGGCGGTTGTGACACTGATGAAGGTTCGAAATCGGTTATTGGCCATTGCGAGGGATCCGAGTGAACCCAAGAAGGTCCGTGGAACCAAAGCGGGTGGTCCATTATTTGCATCGGGGTGAGTCCACGGGATAGACAATCGGCAGGGTTTTCCGTACCGGACACGTGATAAAAGTTCTGCGTTTCTAACTCGTCTTGGATCTTGGCCACTCGGTTCGCGACAAACGTATCCCAACGGTGGGGTGAAGAATGAACCCAGCGTAAGGCGACGGTGGAGTCGGAAAAGGCAAATATCCTTTCTATGTGAACTCTATCCCTACATGCGCTGATAACTGCGGTAATAAGCTTGGTGAGTACTAATATTGCGCAAAGCTCTAAGCGCGCCAGAGAGACAACCTTACGGGGGGATACTCTCGACTTAGAACTAATGAGGCTAATCGAATTTCTACCATTATTCTGAACGTGGAAATATACAACGCCCCCGTAAGCCTTCTCGCTGGCGTCTGCAAACCCAACGACCGTGATGACGCTATTTCTATCGACGTTTATATGACGCGGTATTTTAATTTCTCTTAGTAAAGGAAGTTCCTCTCTAAAACGCTGCCACAACCGAACAATGCTGTCAGGCGGCGAGTCATCCCAATCGCATTCAAATAACCAAAGTTGTTTAATCAAAAGCTTAGCGTATAATACCACCGGAGCTACGAAACCCATGACATCCCATAATCTAGCAACGCATGACAGTATTGTGCGCTTTGTGCACTTCTCTACGGGCGGATTTACCTTAAGGCTAAACACGTCGGACTCTGGTGACCAACACAGACCGAGCACCTTGTGTGTATCCGAATCGTCGAATTCCTTTATCGCCGAAAGACGGTGTGATAGTGGGATTGTGTCTAAAACCGGACGCGAATTACTAGTCCACTTGACAAGATCGAATTGACCCGATTTCATGAGCTTTATAACCTCGGCGGTGGTTAGGGTGGCCTCCTCCACGCTATCGACCGAGTATACAAAATCATCCATATATAAACCGCTCTCAATTGCCCTCTTAGCTTTAGGGTAAGAGGG